TAGGCCGTCCCTTGTCATGTGAACTCAATTTGTACTACATGCAAAACTCGCACAACTTCATTGTGGCGCCGAAACCACCTCGGGGAAATTGAGTGCAAGTAAGATTTTGTTCTTAAGTAGGATACTTAAAGCTGGATTTCTGATATTAACGAAAACTCGTGATAAAAAGATGAGGTCAAGCTATTTAAGTTGTTAAGAAATCTGCTATGCCATCAAACATCTTCGTTGATGGCTGTCAAGTTATTCCAGTGAAAATTTTATGTTTTGGTGAATTTGTTACAGAATATATCGAATTTAGTGAGGTATTTAGCATTTTAAAACTCAATAAATCCAATTCTTCTCATAGCGAATAGGAAAGCGAGGAAGGGGGATAAATTATCTAAAATTCTTTTGTTAATCTATAATAAAATGAGCCTTTTAGCGCCTGCAATCTCTACTTCCGTAAGAACAATTGCAAGCGTCCAGCGACTCTGCGTAAGGACGAGATCATGAAGAGAAAACGAAAGCCAAGATTGGATTCAAGCTCGAGTGATGCTAAAACTTCGGCGAATCTCGACATTCAAGTCCATCACGAGCAAAAGCCATTATCTTTCAAATAATTGGAAATTTTTGTAGATCTATAGAAATGTTGCATGATTTTTAGCATAATGTATTATAATTTAATGTTGTATAAGTTTTGTAAAAAGGCGAAATTCTGAATAAACACTTTGAACATTCCATGAAACTGGTAGTATCTTAATTTAATAATAAATAAATCTTGCTGTTGATTCGGCCAAATCCTCCTCCAAAAATTTTAGATCTACAAGATACTTGGACTGCATAACTACTTTTTGAGGGTGAAGTAGGAAGAGAATAGGGGTAAAATTCTATTGTCGAATGCAGTGCAGTTTTGTGAACAATCGCAGTTTAAATAACAATTTATCAACAAAAAAGGTAACAATTTACTCCTGAACAACAGTAGTCTTTTCAGACACGTAGATACCGTCGAGGAATTTGCGGATATCTTTCTCCTTGACAGTGGTGGACTGCTGGATGCGAGCAGCTAAACGTCAAAATTTAAAATTAGAAGAGTTGTGCAAAAAAATAAATAATGACCATGTGCAAGTGAAAAAATAACCTGCTTGCGACACGAGCTGAATGTCGTTCCCTTCAATGATAAGTTCATCCTTTTGGGCAGTTGAGAGAGCAGCGGTGACTCCGTCTGGAAGTGGGACACGACGAACGATCTTCTCACCAAGGAAATTACGAATCTGAGGATAAGATGGTGTTTAGGCATTGATTCAAACAGGTGAAAAGAAAATGCACGGCGAACTCAAATACTTGGCGAAAAAAACAGACCTCAACAGTTCTTCCTGCATCTTGAAGAGTTACGTTAATGGGGAAATGAGCGTATACAGATCGCATCTTGTAGCGATAGCCCTTTGTGACTCCTTTAATCATGTTTTGTATGTGGGAGCAAACAGTTCGGATTGCTGCGAGCTCCTTGCGTACTCCAAACCATTTGCGGACTCGCAGCTGGTTCTTTCCGATACGCTCCATCTGAAAAGCTGAGGACCTCTTTTACTTGATCTGTTCGCTTTTGCTGTGCATGCTATTTCCTGTGACTAAGAAATTACGTGTAAACACAACCCAAAAAAAACTAAATTTGTCACTCTAATTTTTCAAGTGCATTTATCATTATTTAAAAGAAAATCAAACAATTAGAAAGAATTATTAACAGCATATAAATTCGCTGAAGCTCGAATGTTCGAACATGTGAACTAATATATTTGAGAAGTAGGAATGGTCAACAATAGTGAACTAAGATATTTGAGATAGGACAATAAACACATGATAAAATCTATAAAGGCAACCAAATTATTATGAAAACTCTGATAAATGCATCGAAAACAACAAAAAATGCTGGTAAATACTTGTATCAAAAATAAAACGATTAAGATGAACCCATTCATAATGAATGGTATATAGTCCCGTATCGTTTGTAAATAACTAACGACTTCCCATTATATCATAAGCAACTAGAGTATAAATCCTAAGTGCAAACTAGATTCATCAATCTAATATAAAAGACCTCGCAATGATAAATAAAATGTTTTTGAATCATTCAAATCATCTCTGCAGCTATTTAGCGACTACTACTTTTCTCTAAACCATTGAAATAATTAGTACCGACAGAAAAGCCTCCATTCAATAGTGTGAAGAGAACGTAGTAGGTCCGTTAACAAAAGTGGGTGCCATTTAACCGTTATGCAAAGGTAATTATCCTATCGCATTTTCTTTAAAATTAACAATACCTTTTTTGTGGTAATAGTACCATTTGAAAACTCCACTACGCGCAATCATGACTAGGTTATCTGTGCGCAACGATTGTCTCACTGACGCTGTTCATAAACGAACTTTTCGATTGAGCTCATAGTTTCTAACTTCTACCCACATTTGGTACACTTTTGAACAATTTCCCAATCATTCTGTTTTTTTGGATTGCTTTCAACTTTCAAAACATTTGTGCCCAGCACAATCATGAGCGTGTCAGAACATGGCACCAGTAGAACTTCGCATTCAGTGAAGTTTCTCAAAAAAAAGTTGCGAAGATATTTTAGCACGTTAGTATAGATGAAAAGTTAGGCACAATTATTGCAGAATACAAGATTGAAAGAAAACAGAAAATAACGTTGGAGACGAAAATGCTTTACCTCCATGTGAAGATGGCGGAAGTCACGCCTAAGCGTTCCTCGGGGTCC